ATTCTATTCTATTCTATTCTATTCTATTCTATTCTATTCATGCCTTGTGCAAAGATTGCATGAAGATTCCTAGAAAATATCAAATGCTTTCTCTCCTCTTTCTGCAAGCTTATATAGTTAAGTCCTGTTACTTTCAGCCACATCTGTGAATGTGTGCATTAGGCACAACCTCAAAGTTACTAAGAATATATCTTTCCCAGCTGATACCTCCCTTTTCCAGGTTCCTTTTTCGTTCCTTGTTCTTTCTTTATGAACTTAGCGTTTCAAGTTTCAGAATTCTTTTTTTAAAAACTTGACCTATAAGAGCTTCACTCCATCTCTTCCCACTTACACATGCACCGCTCACAGGTATGCCAAATATATTTTATAGAAAATAGATTTCCAAATTCCTTGGGGCAAGCGATTTCTCACTTTCTTCCTTCCAGCTTTCATGATGGGATAAAGCTGACCCCTGCCTTTTAAAGAAGCAGCTGCTACCTTTCCAAAGGTGCAACCAGAGCTGCCTGTCACGTTTTGCACTAGTAAGCAGATAAACTAGCCTCACTGGGGTGAAAATGCACTTGTGGAGGCTGGTCTTTTCACCTGCTCTAGGCTTTCTAGGCAAGAAATTGACCTGAGCAGTTGTATCACATTTCCGGTGGTAATCAACAGCTATGAAGATGATACACTAACTGTGGTCCATCAGCCTACAGCTAGAGATTATTGCAAAGCACCAGGCATTGAGAGTGTCAGGCCTTTACCTCCCTTTCCCTATTTGCTAGGAGAGAACCCTGTGTAACTTTGACAGCTGTAGAAGCGATTAGAATATTCTACAGACACAGCTTTCCATTTCATAGCATTTTTTTTGAAGGGCACAGTAGCAAGCAAGCTGCACTTGACACTTCCTTTCCACCCTCCTATTTCCTAACTGCACACTGAAAGAAAGGGGAAGCAAGAACAATGCATGGAGATGCAACTTTTCTTAGCAGATGGCCAAACTTGGCCTTTGAATGGTGTGATAGGAAAAAAAAAACACAGCGGGCCCAAGAGATAAAATACATTGGATTTCATTTATATTTGTATGTAGTTCATTTCCAATCATGTCTTTAGTTATGTTCTGCCACAAAAGTGCTTTTTCAGGAGGCAACTGGACTTTCTTGCTTGTCTTTGAAGACATTTTGCTTCTCATTCAAGAAGCTTCTTCAGTTCTGGTAGGATAGTGGGGAACGGAAGGATTCCTTGCAGACAGCTGGTCATTTGCATTCTTTTAGAGAGTCGTTGAAGCCCCTTGGAGGTTTATCTGTGTCCTCAGGGTCACCTGAGTAGTACAAATGTATGTCAAGCCTTCTTGGCTGCAGGATGCCTTCCATTCCCCATCCTACAGGCGGAACTGAAGAAGCTTCTTGGATGAGAAGCAAAATGTCTTCAAAGAAAAACAAGAAAGTCCAGTTGCCTCCTGAAAAAGCAACACCATGACCTGATGGACTGAGAATCTCCATAGACATTTAGCTGTGCACTTTGGGATGAGCACCCTTTGAATGATGTGAGATATGGACAAATTTCCAGAAAAATTGCAGACTACAAGAACCATTTGCTCAGGTGACCCTGAGGATAAACTCCCAAGTGGCCTCCATGACTATCTAAAAGAATGCAAATGACCAGCTGTCTGCAAGGAATATAAATCCTTCCATTTCCCATCATCCATTTAGAGCTGAAGAAGCTTCTTGGATGA